ATGGTCGCAGAATGTAAAAAATTTCTCTACACATATATGTACATAGGCAAAGAGTTACATATCTATGTTCAAGTTATCAAGCAAATTAAACTATGAATGCGTTTTATCCAAACAGATCGGTCTTTGATTCATTTCAAGGAAGAAAAGCTTTCCACATATTGACGTTTGCAAGGAGCCAACTACGTTTGTCCCACATTTTAAGCAAAACCGCGCCATTGAATCGAAAAATTGTTCACCATATTAATTTATGCTTTATGCCATCTCTGTGGGTTTGTATGTAAATTCAACGATAAATAAAAAATTGTTCAATTAGATCGATGTCCGGTTCACTTCCCCGAAGGAAAAGTGTTCCCCATATACATTCAGTTGATACAAAATGATGCCTGTATACCTAATTTGATCTAATCAAATGGTTTAAAAATAAATTCGGTTTTTTCGAACACAACGGTCCCAGGTCCACTTCACGCGAAATCCTCTTACTGCATGCATACTTCATATGCAGAAGACACACGCCGAGTTTTAGATTTCTACTATCAGTGGTTTGGGATGTTGGTTGGTTGATCCGTCAGTCATTCAGGGCAAAGCCGTTTATATATATGAATTATACTATTTATATATTAATTAATAAATACGCATATGTAATGATGTGTTAATGCTTTAATTGAAATTTGTAATTCCTATAATTTCTAGCAATAGTATTATTTTCCTTAGAATATCTATTCGTATTGGCAGGAAATAGTTTTTTCTGTATTATTTTTTTTTTTACTTAGAATTGCTTGAAAAATAAAAGAAAATAAATAAATTAGCGTTCGAAGAATATTTCAATATAAATATTTCAACTATTTCTTTTTGTCGCTGCTTGCACTTTTCTTCATTTCACCAATGATGTATTAATTAATTCGAAAATTAGGTAATAGAATTGACTTTTTTCATTATCCCCTTTGATTATCGCATTTTGCGGTACTTAGCTTTGGCTTATTCATCAAATGGAAACGCGCCAAAAATCTTATGATCCTTATGTAAGTACATACATACATATATTATACACTCGATTAATGTGTAAACAATTTTATTGTAATTGACTCTAGACACCTTAAACACTTCAAAGTGCACGTACGCGTATATGTACTATATAATGCATATTTACATACTTAAAAAAAAATGTAAATAAATTGATTAACGAAAGTTAAGGCAAAACGCAATAATCTTTCTTTGCATTTTCTCAAAGTTACACGATTTTTCCACTCCACAAACTTTAAGTGCAATGACGAGCGAATATTTGATAACTCTTTAGAAGTAAGCTAGCTCTACACTACAGGGCGCTAAAAGATTAGCAAAATTTTACTTGAAAAAGAAACAGGAAAAAAAAAATTAATTCAACAACAACTCTCTTAAAAGAATTGGCCCATTTACATACATACTCCTTAATTGTTTAGTAGACATAAGAACGCTTGAAAAGAACGATTGTAACTTCAACTTGTCTACATCAGTGAAGTGGAGTGTACTTACAAGTAGTGCCTTTGACATTCTGCACTTTAAGCTCTTTGCGTGTGTACCTTCTTCATTGAATTTCTAATTTTTTTTAATTTTTTTTTTTTGCTTTGTTACGCTTAAATTACGCAAATCTCAACTGATCTTGATCATGCAGATATCAAGTGGTAGTTTTCTATATGGTTGTATTTTTCTTGTCGCCGTACAGAAATTATGCAAGCACTTGTTTATATGTATGTGCATAAATATGCATATTATTTATTTTCCATTAATCATATGACATATGATTTAGTGGAAAATATTCACTTGATTTTCATCGTAAGAGCAAATTTATTTCACTTCTCCAGTGATCTTGCTTGCTATAAACGATATATAATTTTTTATTTCAGGTGCGTTAAGGCGTGTTTTTGTTTTGTTTTTCACTATTTTTTTTTTATTAATTTTTATGTCATTTCTTTCAATATTTGCGTTCAATCGCTGTCACGTCACTTAGCGCGTTATCACGACTCGTGTATAGATAAAGTGGATTCAGGCACTACTACGTGCATGGAGTTCCGTAATCGCGCAACTATAAAGAGATACACAAAATATACATACATACATAAGTACACTGGGGTTTGGGGTTAGTCTATCAAAATATTAAAAAAATTGCGATACGCCAAAGAAAGCAAATCAAAAAAAAAAATTAATTAATGAATCAACAATAGCGCGCCATGCGATTCTTGTCTTTCTTGTTTGGCGTCAGTTGGAAATACCAAGTGAAACCAGACCGCTCTCCACCTGATCCTACCAACGGCAAGGGTTATTCTGCGTTGGGTTTCAAGGCTGACATTATTGTTGATGTTAATGCTGGTCCCTAGATTGCCGAAATTGGCGTGGGAGTCGAAACCGTAATTGCACTTACTGTTTGACAGTAAATATTTCGTCTTGTACACCGTTCAGATTGGTCCTCTTTGGCATAAATACTTACAGCTTATTAGGTACATTCTTAACTCCAACAATATTTTGTGTTAAAAATATTGTAAATTTATTTCAAAAATTCCAAAATTTTTTAAAAGTTCTTATAAAGCTTCACCGATTATTTAACAATAGCTTCAGTATGGCAAACTAAAATTTTAACAGTTCGATATTTTGCTGGATTAACGGTAAATCTGTTTATTCCGCATTTTTTTTTGCCATTTTTACTGAATGAAATTACTTGCTTAGTCACATGCTTGTTGAGTTAGATAAAAATAATTTTTGGCAACTAAAGTATGTATGTCTGTATGTATGTATGAAATCTAAAATTTTCACCAACACATAAAGGGCTATCCATTTCGTAGCTTCAAATTTACAGAACGGTATTTTGGCATCTTTCAAACTTCACAGTGAAACCAAAAATTATTCGTTTTTAGTGCAAAGTAAGGCATTTATGAAAATGGTGTTTTAATCGTGGCCACGTTTCGTGCTTTAAGAATAGATTATTGTGCACAAAATCGTCCAATTACAGCAGCAATTCACTTCAAATATCTTCATTTTATATTGAAAGTGTAACTCAATACTCGAGTGTGGCTATTTCTCAACGTTCTAAAAGGCTGTGACTTTCATATGGCCCATTATGGTCTTGGACTTACACCTACATTCGCAGAAAGTCCAGTTCACACAACTACTGATGCCAGCTGACCAATCACGATGCCGGGCATACATCCATTGGGTGCTTGATCAACAAACAGTCGACGGTGATTTTTCGAACTAAATTTTCTTTAGCGACGAGACACATTTCACATTTCATAATCGGGGAATACGCAAATAAGTAAGATTGTCGCTTTTATGGGTTCGAGAATCTTCAAATAATTGAACTTATTGCCTGCTGCGCCACCACTTGGACAATATATGGTTTCAGCAAGACGGCGCCACAAGCACACAAGCACGGCACAACACGAGCGAATATTGTTTGATTACTAGACAAATTTCCCGTTCACGTAATCTCTCGTCTTGGTGAGGTCAATTAGCCAACGAGATCATGCGACTCGACACCTTTGGACTTTTGTGGGGTTGCGCGAAAAAACATTAATTTATGAGCACAAGTTATGGCTGGGATACCGCCCAATATGTACCAAAAAGTATTTGAAAATTACCTCAAATGGATCGAGGTTTACAAAAAAAAAAAAAAAACGCGAGGCGGTCACTTGAGTCATGTAGTGTTTCACACACTTATAATGCCAAGCTTCAAACTTTATAATAAAAAAGGAGGTTCATGAAAATATAAATATTTCCAATGCCTTTAATTCACGTTTATTTTCGAAACCGCAAACTGGATAAGCCTATACATACACTTTATTTTGTATGTATGTTGCTCTGTTTTTTCGTCTTCAAAATAAATTAAGCATTTAAAATCAAACAAACCAAAAACAAAAACAAAAAAAACAAGCGCAAACAGGTCGGTAATGTTCAGTCATCGTTCGTCGTGTGTGTTAGCACGTCATCTGATATGCTGATCAGCGCAAGGGAGAAGGAAGGCTTGTTTGTTAATTTATTGATAATTAACTTTGTATTTCTGCGCTGAAAATAAGGCCATGACGGAGCATAAAAATTAAAATTATAAGAACTTTTGCTAAAGCCAGACAGTTGGGGGTTTTTATTCTCAAAAAAGATTTCTCTGTAATTCTTAGTTTTTTACTACCTTAAGAGGTAAAGCTACTCTTAAGATTTTTTTTAATCACATCTTTGGGTCCTAGAAATGATATGCAATTAGTTATAAAATGAAAAATATATTTCAAATAGTTGAACTTTTTATTTTGCTGCAGCCCCTCAGTGCATGCGCTGAGTACAATGAAAACTTCAAACGCGTTTTTCTATAAATCACATTTTTCAAACCGGGAGGACAGATTATTCCGAATCTATTGCGTCGATTTATCTGAAATTTTGATGGTAGCTTCACAAATATTTACATTTTTTCGCAACTACATAGCTTTTTTTTTCGAATTTTTTCTTAATTTAATGAGTATTTTTCTAGTCAAAAATCAATCTTTTTGAAAAAATGTGCCGCTTTCTCAAAAATTAGTTCAAAAATAAGTCCATACGTAGTTCCAAGGACCATAGTTTGTAGATCATAAAACGTTTGGCTTTTCTGTTCTAGATATCATGCTTCAGAAGAAATTGGTCCCCACGTGGACGCCTTTCAAAATTAAATAATGGACTTTACCAACGCCATTTTGTAACAAAATAATAATTAAAGAGTATTTTATTATACTTCAAAACATGTTATATTAAATTTAAATAAGAGTTTTTTGACTGGCGGTTCTCCAATTTTTTTACATCTAATTTTTTCGAGTAATAAAGAAATTTCGACTTTTACAATTTTTTCAGTGCAAAAATTAGTAGTTTTTCTTTAGCAATTTTTTACAATGTTACTTTAAAAATCTGTTTTGAATAGATTTGAAAAAATGGTTAGAATATAATAGCAGCTATTTCGAACTCTAAACAACTTAATCTAACCCTCAATTAATTGATTTTTGATTTTTTTTCAGATTTCGCCGTCACAACACCTTCGAAAATATACTTTTACGATGAGCACTGGAAGGAGGTCACAACATCGGCACATCAGTTTGAATATCTCGCTGGCATCACATTCGATGAAGCTGAAGAGAAAATATATTTTAGCGATAATCGGCAAAATAACGGCAGCATTTTCTCACTAATTATACCGCACGACTATGAGGATCCGCATTTAATAGATAAAATGGTGCAGCGTACAAATAATGAAGAAATCCATTCACTCGCCTATGATCCACTTGAACGCAATCTCTATTGGAGTGATATGGTGAGCAGGAAAATCTATATGATATCCGTTGATGCCAAAGAGTCTATTAAGCCAAAGGTCTTCATCGATTTCGCTAATGAAGGCACTTTACCTGATGGCATAGCCATAGATTTCTGTCGCCGTTTACTCTTCTGGACCAATTCGAATTTTACCAGTGCCACTATTGAACGTATCGGTTTAGATGGCAAAGATCGTAAAGTGATCGTAAATACAAATATGTATGCGCCACATGGTATTGTTGTTGATCAGTTAACGGATCGTATATATTATGTTGTCGATCAGCAAGGCATACATTTTAGCGTGGAGAGTGCAAATTTGGATGGTACTGATCGTCAAATTATATTGAAAGGTGTCAATAATGAACCCTTTAGTTTGGCTGTGACAAAAGATGCCGTCTTCTGGCTTGATCGTACAAATCGCGCCATTTGGAGTCATGCGAAATACACCAGCAAAAGTGTAACCAAACAAGCTGCTGAGAGTGAAAATGAAGAGGGTGTAATTGAATCGATTGAGGAAGGCGCCAATATGGTACTACAGTATGTGGACAAACCACGAGGCATAGTTGCGCGTTCGAATTATCTTACAAATTCCATAAATGATGAACAGTGCCACGAAGTGGTCAACGCCATCAAAAGTCGTATACTCTCAAATTCGAAATCTTCCAATAGCACGCCGGATGAACGCACAAATGTCTTGCGTAAAAGTTTTTGCTTGAATAACGGCGAATTCGTGACACAATCCACCACTTGCATCTGTAAGGTCGGATTCGACGGTAAACGCTGTGAGATAAATCAATGCAAAAATCACTGTATACATGGCACATGTGTAATCTCGTCGCGTGGCCTACCCACTTGTGAGTGTCACCAGAATTACCATGGCAAACGTTGTGAACTAAGCAAGTGCGAGGGGTATTGCTTGAATAATGGTCGCTGTATAGTTGAGGATTCAGGCGAAGTGAGCTGTGATTGTAAGGAACGTTTTGCCGGCACACGTTGTGAATATAATACTACAGAAATTTGTGGTCTTTATTGTAAGCTGTATAAGTTGGATGCGGAGACAAGTGTACCTTATGGCTGCCATGACATGTGAGTATGAATGAAATGAAATCAGAAAACATAGAAGAAATTTATATTTTACGTAAAAATGTTCAGGCGTAATAATTCCTTCTGATTAATAAGTCCTTTTATAAGAGAGGTAGAAGCGAGCCAAGAAGGAGGACAGAAAGAAAAACAGAAATNAGGCTGCTCCATCAACGGACACACCACTCACCAATCGCCCGATGGCCACCGAGGCGTGTGAAATTACAATAGAAAATTGTTGTAATATGAATATAGTGTACCTTATGGCTGCCATGACATGTGAGTATGAATGAAATGAAATCAGAAAACATAGAAGAAATTTATATTTTACGTAAAAATGTTCAGGCGTAATAATTCCTTCTGATTAATAAGTCCTTTTATAAGAGAGGTAGAAGCGAGCCAAGAAGGAGGACAGAAAGAAAAACAGAAGTAAATACAGAAATAATTGCAGAAAGAGAGATAAAAGAAGACAAGAGATAAACAGTGAGAGAAGGAGAGAGATATACAATAGATTGTGAGAGAGCTTAAGGGTAGCAGAAATAGGCACAGAAAGAGAGAATGGAGGAGACATAGAAATAGGGATGGAAATAGCGAGGGGGGCGGAAAAAGAGGGATAAAGAGAGGAAGAAATAGAGGAATAAAAGAAAGAAGAAGAAAAAATAGAGGGAAAAATATGAAGAGAAAGAGATAGAAGAACGGAGGTAGAGAGAGAAGCAGAGAGATAGACTGTGAGAGATAGGGAGAGCGAGAGAAAGATAAAAAGAAAGGGAGGCAGAAATAGGCACAGAAAGAGAGATTGAAAGGGACACAGAAATGGGGACGGAAATAGAGAGGGGTAGGGAAAAAAAGGATAAACAGAGAGGGAGAGGGGGGATAAAGAGTGAGAGAGGCAGGGGGTAAAAAAAGATGATCAACAAACAGTCGACGGTGATTTTTCGAACTAAATTTTCTTTAGCGACGAGACACATTTCACATTTCATAATCGGGGAATACGCAAATAAGTAAGATTGTCGCTTNAAGAGAGAGAGAGGGAGAGAGAGGCATCAAGAGAGAGAGGGGAATAAAGAGAGAGAGAGAGAGAGAGAGAGAGGAATAAAGAGAAGAAGAACGGAAGATGGGGTTAATAACAATTGCTATCAACTTTTACTGAGCCGCGTTCGGTGAGTAAAATTTGCATAGAGAGAGTACTATTTGAATATTTCGTTTCTGACTAATTCTTACTGACATTTTTCACCGAACAGAGTTATTCTAACCTTTTCGGTTGTTGATTGTCCTATACTTATTTCATTTTTTTTTCTGCGTAAATGGGGAATATAATTCCTGCAACATGAATTATAAAAAGTTCCCTAAATATTGTGGCAGTTTGCCACTGGTACTGGAAAAAATTCCAAATGTCAAAAATTAAAAAAATATATAATTAAATAAAATATATTTTCTTTTCTTTCAGTTGCGATGAACTCATAGAACGCACAGAAAATGGTACTCAGACCTATGCAGTGCCGAAACTCCCGAATTTGGAAATGTGCGAACAAGAGAAAACGTGGAATAGCACGGTAATAATTGTTCTCGTCAGCGGTGTTGTCGCTTCCCTTGGCTTAATGCTTCTAATTGTGCATGGCCTGCGTCGTTTCTACAAGCCAGCTCGTCCACGTATAAAGAAGACTTTTGTCGTGCGCAAACAGGCTGCTCCATCAACGGACACACCACTCACCAATCGCCCGATGGCCACTGAGGCGTGTGAAATTACAATAGAAAATTGTTGTAATATGAATATATGTGACACTGTAAGTTGTAAAAGGGATGAATCATCAAAACACAACACACGAAAAAGTTATCGTAGTACTTAAGTCTATTGACCACTCACGTACATATGTATGTACATACATATGTATATGGTTATTTGATAACACCTGATTAAACAAACAATTCGGTTAATATTTGTAATTTTAGCCACATTTATTTTTCATATACAAATAATTGACGGGGGTCGACATCGTATAAGGAATTCGAAACATATTTTTGTAATCTGTAAATATATATGATATATTAGCAAGCTAGTTTCTTTTCAATGTGCTTACTAAGAAATTTTGTCATGTAGTGTTTTTTATAGCTGATATTTTTTTTTATTACCACTTCAATAAAAAAATTTTGGTATAAGGTTTTCCACAATTCAAAAAACACCAACATACGTATTATATATATGCATGTGTACATAGTTCATTTAAAATTCTAAATTAATTGCTACCTCTCTAACTCTCTCTTCTACTCATTTCAGCCATGCTTCGATTCTAAGCTCCTAGAAAAGACACTCTCTCGCAATTCAAAGGTCAAGGATGATAAGAAAATGCTAATCAATGGCATGGACGATGAACTTTATTAGTGAAGCATTTTGAAATCGTAGAAACGATGGTTTCGCTTGTGCTTGCGGATATAGTACGCGCGGTCAGGGACTGGCATACTTCTTCTGCGCGCGCCAAACGAACGAAGAAGAACATCTACAAAGAGGCCTTACAACGAAAAATTTGATTACAATAAATTAGAGAAGAGCATGATGCAAATGTAGAACAAAAGAAAAATAGAAGATAATGCCATGAGAGATTGAACGAGGAGAATGAGTGAAGAATACAGTAAAAATAACAACACTGCAAGAATAGAGTTTCTAACGCCACGGACAAATATATGTACATACTGTGTAGTTAGTACTAGTTCCTCGTCCGTAGGCGGAAGACCGAAGAAGTGCAACAATGGATAAGCTTTAAAAAGAGTAGTACACTCTAAAAAGTCACAAATAGTAAAAATTATGTACTTATTTAATTATTTTTTTTTTTGTAACATCTACTTAATTTTTTCATTATTATCGCTTTACAATACATACAATGAAATGCTTAGAATTTTTTCTCTCTTTTAATATTATTCTGACTGTAAGAATACGAAAATATGAATTAGATTAATTTAAATTTTTACATTCATTTCTTACTGAAATATTGCATATGATTTTAATTTTTGTTTGTTACGTATTAGTTAAATAATCAATAAATTAATAGAGAATCAACGAAGGCTGTAAAATCTTTTACATAATTGTTGTAAACATGTATACACACGTACTTACATACTTAAATTTGGCTACTTAAAATGAATACGGTTGCATTGATTACCAGAAGGTTAATTAAAAAAGAAACAAAAAATAAATGACGTTGTTTTTTTTTTTTTTAATTAGTTGTAATATGGATTTGTGGGAAATATGAATGAATAGTATAAATAAGTAGCGTAAAAATATAATGAATACTGAGCAAAGTGTTAAGTCGTGACAGTTTTGTTGAAATTCATAATTATTTGTAAGAATATAAAATATAAAATTCACAGAAAAGCGATTGAGACGTTTTTTTGTGGAAAATTGAGTCAATCTGCACATAACAGTTTCAAATAACATTTTCCAGCATATTGCAATGTCACTATCAGGAATTGTATATTAGTTCATACACAAATATGTACAAACATAAAATCCATGCTGATTTCTAGAATACAAAATATAATGAATTTTTGCTTTATTAAATAGTGCAAAAGAATTTCACAAGTTTCTCACGCAGTAATAAACTTATTTATAGTAAATTCTCTGTGGGTGCATATATACACATACACACATATGATTTTTATGGGCTTCTGAATTTTTATGATTTCAACTTTTGCCAACTGAACGTTTGGCCTGTGTTTCATTAAAGTTTTTTATTATTTTTTTTTCACACCTACAGAATGCTTTTTACATTTATGTATATTTGTACATATGTATATAATCTTATGCACTCTGCCATTATTATAGTTATGTTGATAAATAAATAGAATAAAACGAAATATTGCATACATAATGAAATTTTATTTGATAACGGTACATGTGTGTTTCTAACAAAGAAAATTGTGGTTTAACAAATGTAATCCGCCCCTTGGTAGACTCTTTTTCGCCCGTGCACGTTCCGCTTTGAACAAACGCAGTGGGAAGTACGTAAGCCTGAAAGTATACTACAATACAAATGACATAACACACGTTGACTAAAAGTTTTTTTGTAGAAGCGAAGGAATTACGTTAGCAGTTAAAAATGTTAAAGTTTTTATCTCTATTATAAGGTTCTTCATTGGGTTATCTAGATTTTAGCTGCGATACAAATAAATACATCCAAATAGTCCATAGGCTTTATCGAAGTTGACAGTCCTAATGACAGGGAGAGAGAGGGAGAGACCTAATGACATGCTTATTCACGCTTAAAGAATTTTCATCGCTGTCGTGTTCGAAGAGGTCCATCATGAATTACTTTTAGAAAATTGGTTTTCGGGGAACATTGTGATAGTGACAGTCCTTGTTCGGAAATAAATCCCGGTCCATCCAGTATAAGTACCAAATTGTTGTGGAAACTATCTGTTATTAGGCGCCTCTTTCGGCAGATATAAGGTGAGTTCCTGAGGCCCTAACCAGCAGGATGTATACCTGATATTCTCTCTCCTACTCTCACGTCCACTTTTCCCACCTCTTCACTGCAACCTGTGAAATCCTCGGCTACTCTCTTTATCAGCTTGACAAATAAATCCGGCACAAATTGAATGTGAATGTCCTCGTCGACTTCAAGAAAAAACAACTCCATGCTACTGGGAGTCCCATTCGACAGGAGACACCTCCTTCCCATTCATAAGACTGTTCTTGCCACAATAGTATATAAAAAGCCGCAATGAAAACTTTCAAAAAATATAAAGAAACCTTCTTCGGGACTTGCAAAGCAATTGGCTGGCCTGCCAGAACATCATTATAAGGAGTGTGACTGCAAAGCTACTAAAGTCATGTTTGTCCACAGTGAAACATCTATGGTTCCTGTATAACAATATCCATCAATGATAGTGATATCATAGGCACCAACAACTGCGCTGTTAGTTCTGTTTACTTCATACTAAATAAGGACGAAGACTTCCACTTAGGTGAAGAGGGACCACTCTTCACTCCAATTGCTGCCAAACGACTGAGAAAAGAAACAAATGGCCGGCAGTTATTAACTCGTCTATAATCGCGTTAGCGGTATTCTTGGGCAAAAAGTAAATGAATTTGGCTCTTTGTATTAAAAAGTATGAAATTTAAATCTACTACTAATTGATAAATTTCAGATATGAACATAGGGTGGTGCTTAATCATTAGTCTAATTTGATAAAAAAATTATAAGTTGGCAGCATGATTTGATTGACAAACACTGAATGCACCCGTCCATTTATATACAAATTTGCCATATGATGAAACGTCAAACAAAATAAAAAAAAAAATATGAGAAGAAATTTCACTTCCTTCAATTCGAGGACAAATAAAATTTTTTGAGAAATAGGTAAAATTTAAAGTTTGCATAGATAAAAACAAGAGAAAAGCTATTAAACTGAGATGGATAAAACAAAAACATTGAATAGTGTTGAACAAATAGGATAAGGAGTGCAGTAACGCTGCTGAGAAGTTGTGGAAAATCGACGAACGTAGAGAAAAAAACATTGTCAGAAAAAAAGTAGTCAGGAAAAGTGCAACGAAGGATTTATTGCAATTTCGTGCTACAAAGTGAATCTTAATCGATTTTGTTTGATTTGGAATAAACGTTATTAAGTTGTGAATTTACTTGAGGAACTAGGGGAGAGGGTGTAAAGGAGGTGGTAAGGAAAGCGTCATAATGAGTTAATATAATACGTCGCTTAATTAATCACTTCTCTGCTTAATATAAAATAATATTGCTATGCATAATAATTGACTTATATTGGCTTAATCAGATGAAAATTTTCTAATCATTTCTGCAAGTTATAATGAAATGATGGTTTTCGTAAAAAAAATTTTAATTGCTTGGATAGTAAATATATGAGCCTATATTTTTAAATTTTCTTAATAATAAAGTATGTATATAATATAATTAAAAAATATTTTTAAACTTCAATGTATTAATGCTAAAAGTAAATGCATACATATTATATGCATATAAATAAAATTGATAACTTTGATATTTACTTTCAGATCTTCAACGACACATCCACACCGCTCATACAAATCTTTTTGACGTTATTGAAGTGAATTTCGCCACGCTTCAAAATGAGTGGCAAAGTACGTTTAAAGGAAAATGGATATCTGGATGAAGATCCAATGACCCTACAAGACATCATCTACAAATATATATGCGAAAACCTGGATGTCATAAGCACTGTGGATTCTACAGGCAAAATGCGACTATTGAAAGAAAATATTGTTCTTCCAAATGACATTTGTGATCGGCTGCTGGACGCCTTACAACGTTTTCGTCGGCAACTGGGTGATGATGTGCTTACACTTTTTGCGAGGAAAAAACGCACTTCCTTGAAAATAGTGCACTTGCGAAATAGTACCTTGTCCGATACAGGTGAGATAATGAAGAATTGTCCGTAGAAAAGTGCATATAAATATATAGCTTTATATAAATATATTATCAGTGAACTTTTTGTATATTTGATATGGAAAATGTTATTAATAACGGAAATGTGTCAGATTAAATATCTCTTTGCATATAAACTTGAATCATATGTTCATATGTATGTGTGTTTGTAGGCAAATACTTTAGATAGCAGTTGTGCTTAATTGATTAATAGATTAAGTTTGCATAGAACGTCAATGACCTTCTAATAAAAATAAAGTTTTTTTTATGAAAAACTAGTTTGCGTTTATGAAACTATTGCACTTAACGACATAACTTGGTTACATATGTATGCATATATTCAAAGATTTGATACAACATAAACCGCTTTCTAATGTCGTGAAATGCAAAATCCAAGATATTGCAATTCTTTTTTATTATTTGCATATATAATATGTGTGTACCTATATTATATGTAATTTAAATAGTTTAAGTTTTAAACTATTCTACAATTTAACGATTTTATAATTTTCTCTTACACAGGTTTGGAGTTGCTTCTGAGTCACAAATTATATTCCCTTTCGATTTGGTACTGTAATCAAATAACTGTGAAATCAGCAGCATTTCTATCATTATACGGTGAGGGTTTGCGTTCATTGGAACTCGGTATTAATGCTCACATGCTGCAAAATTCCGAGCCAAACGAGAAAGAACCTGTCGATTTCAAATTCAATTGCCCGCATCTACGTCGATTAGTTTTAAATGGTGTCGTAATACATACTGGTTTGAGGTTGAACTCCTTATTAGAGTTAACTCATCTGGATTTGACTTCATGTATTTTAGTCGGTTTCAGTTTAGAGATTTTAGCTGGCTTACCTTTACTCCATACGTTAATATTATTTAATGTATGGCCAATCGCTAATCAACTACAAGCAATTTGCCTATTACGTCGTCTACGTACTTTAGACATTTCGATTAGTAATTCTGGTAATGGACATGGCACCTACGATTTGCCCGATCAGACTTTGGAAATGATAATGAATAATTTACGCGAACTCACACACTTGGACATATCTGGTACGAATCTGGCGGGTAATGGTGTGGCTACGAAGGAATCAAATTTTAAATTACGCACTGATATACCCGGCTTAGAGTCCCGGACACAGCGTCCTCTGCAGTTTTTGGGACTCTATCATACTGCGCATTCTGCTTGTAAACGTCATGATATACCGGCAAATGAGGTAAGGAGAATAATTTTAATTTATTCCCTTTGTAAATTTGTTTATTTCACGCAATAGATTGCGGGTGATGCTAACGAGTTGCAAATTCTAACCGCTGCGAGGTATTATTATGATAGACCGATGCTTTTAACGAGGGTAAGTGATAAATACTCCTGCCTACAAAACATACTTACGCTCGTGAATTTTATGTACCTCTTTTTTGATCAATAATCATGTATTTAATTTAGGTTTTGAATGACTTGTATCATCTTTTTCGCTTCGAAATATGTAAAGACATACATCTGGCGTTGGACGCAGTGCTAACAGCTATGGATAGACATTTGAAATTCAAACACATGCAAATTTCGGGAAGGTAAAGTAACTCCTGAAATGTACATTTATAAACATAATATATGGTGTAAATCATTTTTCAAAACGAAACCAGAAAAATATTCTTAAAAGCATTTGTTTTTTTTTTATTTTGTTTGATTTTCAATCACTCCCTTCTGAAAGTAATAAGACCTTCAACTTTTATTAAAAGCAAGTTCCACATTTCTTCAACCTTTTTTTTATTATTATTGCAGTGCTACACTCTTCTACATAGTTAAGGGACGTGATCGCTCAAAATTCGGTACACCTTTACGGAACCACATTATTCGAACACTGCTTAATGGCATGGAGACACATATTACAGACGATACCATGCTACGAAATGGTTATTTAACGCTAACACAATTTCAAATGCCTAACGATGTGGTGAGTTATAACCAAATTTAAAACTTTTTACATGCAAATATTTCTAACTCTTCTGTTGTTCCATACAGTTATTCGAATATGAGCGTCTGATAAAAGTCTTATTGCATGGTGTCTCTAAGACCGAACAGGAAGGTTTTGTGCAAAGGATAGCTATATATTTGTTAAACACTTTGGCGTGTCAAGTGGATGGCAAGCAAAAATTGTTTTTAGGTGAACTCGGTGTTGTTAGTGTAAGTACTCAATCCTTCGTGGTTATCCGATATGGCTCCCGTATTATAAATGGTATAATGATTTTTTTTTTCTACTTTGGCAGACAATGTTAAGTTTAATTAAGGATCGTTTAACACGTTCGGTATTTGACGATGTCATGGAAGTGGCATGGTCAACAATGTGGAATGTAACTGATGAGACTGCAATAAACTGTAGAAGATTTTTAGAAGGACGTGGAATGGAGTACTTTCTGAAGTGTTTACATGTAAGCGATGAAATTGACAAGTTTGCGTTGATTGATCATGTCATATTTCAAATAGGCTTTTCCTGATCGCGAGGAGCTACTGCGAAACATGATGGGTCTGTTGGGTAATGTTGCTGAAGTGAAATGGTTGCGACCAAAACTTATGACACAAGAATTCATTGAAGTCTTTGCTAAACTATTAGTCTCAGGTTGTGATGGAATCGAGGTTGGTAGTACTTATTTTTTGCTTTCAAAATTATTTAATTAAATGCATTGTCTTGAATATTCAACAGGTAAGTTACAATGCTGCAGGCGTATTAGCACATATCGCATCCGATGGTCCCGACGCGTGGACAATAGAGAAACCAACACGAGATAGTGTACTAATATGTATGGTTGAAGCGATTCAACGTTGGGACATACTAAGTGAGAGAAATATTAATTATCGTAGCTTCGAGCCGATTTTGGGCCTAGTACGCTGCTACGAGACACCACAGTGCCAACATTGGGCCGTTTGGGCTTTGGCCAATTTAACGCAGGTATGAAAAAATATTTTAACAATAAATGAGAAATTAAAATAAAATTAAAAAACTTATTAAAAAAAGTTTTAAGCAACTTTTAATTAAAATTAAAATAAAGTAAAATATATTAGTTTTTTAAAATATAAACATAAAAAAATTAAAAAATTAGAAATATATTAAAAGATAATGAAAAATAACACTAACAGCAAAGTTTATTAAAAACTAATTAAGACAGAAAAAAATTGATAAAGAATTATTTAAAATATGTAAAAATTTAAAATATACATACACGCATGTAGTGATAAAAACAAAATTATGCACTAAATCAAAAAAATGTAAGAAATTAAAAACAAAATATAAAATCAAAAGCCAAATAAAAATTAAAAAATTAAAGGAGAAACAATAAAAAAATAAAAACAAGACAATTAAAAATCAAAAAATCAAAATATAGAACGAAAATATAAAGAAATAAAACACAAATAAATAAAAAGCAAAAAAAAAAAATAGAAACAAAAAAATTAAAATAAGAAAAAAATTAAAAATCGAAAAAACAAAAATTAAAAATTAGATAACACAAAAATAAAAAATAATCTAAAAATTTAAAAATTATAAAAATAATATAATAATATAAGATAACAAAAAATTTTTATTGCTATAAAACTTAATAAAAAGTAATAAAATATATTAATTATTTAATAATAATAATAAAAAAATAAAAAATAATAAAATAAAATAATAAAAAAAAATAATAAAAAAAATAATAAAAAAATAATAATAAAAAAAAAATAATAAAAAAAAATAATAAAAAAAAATAATAAAAAAATAATAATAAAAAAAAATAATAAAAAAATAAAAAAATTATAAAAAAAAAATAAAATAAAAAAATAATAAAAAAATAATAAAAAAATTAATAAAAAGTGCAATCGAAAGGTGCATAAGAAAGTTTAAGAAAGTAAAAAATAACTAAAATAATAGTGGACCGTTGTTATTTTTTACTATCTAAAACTTTCTAATTTTTAATTACTCTATTAATTTTTAAAACCATTACCTAATTACTTTTATATATTACATACTATGTATGTACATACATATATATATAAATATCTAAAAAAATATTGGAAAACTTAAAACAAATTATAAGAAAAAAGAAAAAAAGGAGTAAAAAATAAAAATTAAATATCAAAAAAAAAAAAATATAAAATTAAAGCCAAACAAATTAAATAGAAAATAAAAAAAAATTGAAAAACGAAATAAGAAATAAAATAAAAAATTCTAAAAAATTACAAAATAAAAAAATTAAAAAAAAACAGAAAAAAATAAAATAAAAAACCAAATATAAAAATTAAAAACGAAATAAACAAATGAAAATAGAATAATGATAATAAACAATATAAAAAATAAAATACTAAAAAGCAGAAAAAATAAGATAAAAACCCTAAAAAAAATTTAAAATAAAAAGAATAAAATACCAAAAGAAAAACAAACGAAAACAAAAAAATTAAAAAATAGAGAAAAAAATAGAAAATCAAGAAAAAAATAAAAAACCAAGAAAAAAAATTAAAAACCAAGAAAAAAAATTAAAAACCAAGAAAAAAAATTAAAAACCAAGAAAAAAAATAAAAAAAACAAGAAAAAAATAAAAAAGAAAAAACCAAATAAAAAAATAAAAATAAATCATTTAAAATAAAATAATATAATACAAATAAGAAAAAAAATATAAAGAATAAAATAATATAATATATATAAGAAAAAAAATAATATAATATATATAAGAAAAAAAATCAAATAATAAAATAAAAGAATATTAACGTAATTTGTTGTAAGAAAATTTGAAAAAAATACAATGAAAAAAAAAAATAAAACAAAAAAAGAAATATTAAAAAAACAAATATTTAAAAGTAAACTTAAAAGATACTAAAAAGTTTTTATTCTTACGCACTCTAGGTTTATCCCGATAAATACTGTCAGCTCGTTAAGCAAGAAAACGGTATTAAGATCCTTTCTGAATTGATTGAGGACCCCAGACCATACGAGGATATAAAATTGATAGCGCGCAAAGTTATTGAAAAGTGTACACAATGGCCAAATTGGTCGCTTGATGGTTAAAAAAAAAAAACAAACAAAATACAGTTGTATAAATTTTATAAAAATTGGATTGTGGGGAAGGCAACGAAATAACATTGTATGTGCGTTAACTGCATATGAAAATATGTTTACAACCATATACATACATATGAGCAAATAATCTCAATGCAATTGACAACTCGCTGGGCGATTCGGGGCGAGTGGAAGGATATCAATTGCTATGAATTTGTACGCTGCTTCCTCTTGAGAAATGTTTATTTTAAAATGATATATATTGTTTATTTAAATTATACACATACACAAACAAACGATTAAATTGCATAATTATTGAATAATGTAAAATTATTAACGTAAGAATAAAGCGAAGCAACGCATTAAGTAAAGATATTAATGCGGTGGGTTAAGTAAGCTTAATTATTATAATAATAAAAAAAAAATCAAAAACAAAACGAGAAAAAGTGAAATTGCAGCATAAGCAGTGTAGAGACAAGAAATTAGATTAAAATTTTCAATGCTTACATTGCATGTATATAGAAAACAATTGCTCGAATTAAGCTATTTACTTACACACATACATACATACGTTAAATGGTATAGAAAGGAATTCGGCAATAACACAACCACAAAATTTCAAAAATTAAGAAAATTTTAAAAACAGAAATTTCGAAGTTATGAGTATGTATTTTTTTTGTTATATAAAACAAATGAGATTATTCACTCACTAAAAAAAAAACGAGAAGAAATATACATTTACGTGAAAACCTTACCCTGGGTAGTGTAATTAGCATTAAAAAATATCTGTGTATTCATAGATTTATCATTCATTACATAAATTATGTATAGCATATATGTATGTATATCATAAAAAATTATTGCATATTTGCTTATCACTACATTAATTACATTTAAAATGTAAACTCATTTATTAAAAGGCATATTCATTGTTCAGCTTGTTTTTATATTTATCATTAATGTAAATAATCTACATACATAAATCGAGAGTTGTAGTTTTACCAAGGCGAATTTATTATTTATTTATTTATTTATGAATCCGCCTTGAGTTTTACGCATGAAATCAAAATTTTTACACTCTTAAAAAAGTTAATTTACACGTAAATATCTTTTGGTTTGAATTTTCTTGGAAAGTTGCTGGTGACATTTAGAAAGGTTTCAATTGATTAAAAATATATGCAGATACATATAGGTACGAGTATATATTTTTGGTAAAATTTAGCGAAAAAAGTATGTTTTTCCATTAACTTAATTAAAAATTTGAAAATTTTAAGAAACAACTTTTCCACCCAATTGCTTCTTGGAAAATTCCTAGTGAAAAAGTTAACATCTATAAAAACACTGTTCGATTTTAAATTTTTTATGGAATATTTAGAAATTTTCCATTGGGCCTTTCTATATTTCATTGAAGCTGTGTTTGCCAGTGGCAGCTATTTTACAATAAGGATTCATTTATACATTTATTTTCCGTTGAAATTAACTTTGTTTCTAGCCCAATGCTATTTAATAACCCTAACAATATACATATGTTAAAAAGTCCTTGTAGAGCAATGTATCATCAGCAGCAGCATCGGCATATTGTGTATATTCTGAAAAGTATATCTAATAAACACCCGTCTGCCGCGTCACGTTTAAATAGAAAATAGCCGCATCTTGCAAGTATAAATACCTACACACTCGAGACAATTTAACATAAAAAAGATAAATTTACGTTTTCAATGTAAAATAAATCATAATAAAAATAATAAAAAAAAATTTAAAAAAAATATAGTATTTTTCCTCATCATACATTTCTCAATATCTCTCTGTTAGCATAAAATAATTTAGACAAACAAATTCGTAATTATAATAAAATGATCACTTGCAATTTATTTTCACAAACAATTTCAATTACATTCAATTTTAACTACCATTCAAAGCATACAAAATTTTGGTAAGCGCATCAAAATGAAAAATAATTAGAATTTCTCTCACACGAAATTTATCCAAAAAATAAAAAAGAAAACTGCAAGGAACAAAATACATCTAGCGGCGGCGGCGGCGTGACCGCGATCGTCGGCCACGACTACGACGCCTCTTGCTGGCAGCACCGCGGCGTCGCCTACGGCCGCCTCGGTCGTAAATGCCGCCACCCTCCTCATAATCAGCGGCATCTGTTGGCTGGAAAAAGAGAATTGCAAAAAAAAAGAAAATACAAAAGATTTTAATTCAATCATGTAGCGATCGATCATGTGTGCGCAGCATTAAGTCCATTTCCATGACCTCAGCTCACCTGCAGTTTACGTGATTTCCTCGACACGACAATGTCTTCTTCCGAACTGCTGACACTCAGCTCGTCGGACAGCTTGTCGTTTTGATCGGCTTCATTTTCTTCGTATTTGTGGCTGCTGTTCTTGCGTGTACTCGTCGCGCTTTTAGTGGTTTTACTCATTTTTTCGCGTGTGTTCCTTTGCTGTGGCGGCGTGGTGTTGTTCAACATGCGCGCTTGTCTTTTGCTTTCCTTTAATCTCCTCTCCTTTTGCTTAATGCTTACGCTTTTTTACTTTTTCACTAAAAATATTTTACCAAATTGTTGCTGTTGCAATTAAAAACCATTTAAAAAAAAATTTAATTTTTTTACACGTTACAAATTTTTATTTAAATTAAAAACTAAAAGTTTTATAAAACGTATTCTTCAAGTTCGAGACAATCTTTGGAATGAGAACAAATTTTGAAAATCACAAGAAAAAAAGTTTTGAAAATCTAGTCAGCCGTTTTGGATGGCTACGATCTGAAATATAAAAAAGTGGACGAGTTTATTTTATGCACAGTATGGGCAGTGCTAGCAAGGAGCAGGCAGGTACACAGACTGGTTGACTAAACCTTTGATCGAATTAAGCGACGAGCGAGCAGACGAAGTAAGAGTATACTCCTGAGTTTCAAATAACAAGATGCATTTTATTCACATTGGAACAACAATGGAAGCTGTCGAGAAAAGTGCCAAAAAAATGTTTTCTGAAGATTTTCAACCCACACTTCAAAATATACGGTCGGAAGCAGGGATATACACAATTTACAGCGCCGCTTGACGAATTTCCCTCGCAGTTTTCAATCCACACCAAAACATACGAACTGTACAGAGAGCATTTAGGAAACCGCTGGACGAGGAAGGCTAAACTGTAAATCTTCTGCCCTTATATTGTCTTTTGTTTGAGAGAGTTGTGGTATGCCACAGGTAAGGGGTCAACCAATCTTAAATGCCAACATTTTTATCATAAATATATTAACGTGCCGCACTTGTAAGAGCGTACATGCTTTTCTTATTAGCTGGCTTAGGTACCTATACATTTGATTTCTTCACCGGAGTGAATTTCTTCGCATCAACCTGCGGCTACTGTATTTAAAACTTTCAAAGTTGAAACTCTTTTACCACTAAGGACGACATGATCTAGACAGCACAGCTGCTGCTGTGTATTCAATGTTGCCGCATCTCGTACAGCTTCACCGCTGTCAAAGCGCTAAAGACCATGGATCTTCTTCAAAACTTGTTTAATCTAAAAATCTAGTGCCAACTCATCGGCTGCATCTATAACAGGAGAATGGCTGACAAGAAGCAAGCTGATGCTGGTTCCTAGTGAGACGAGGCTGTTTATGCCTGTCTGTGGAGACATGGCAGCCAAAGACGCAAATAGCCGACTAAACAGGAAAAATTATTGAATGCCATTTAACAAGGGAGAAGGGGTCAGAACGGATGGTTTTCCAGGTTTCGGTTGTCAGCAGCTCGAAACCAGTAGGCCAAGTATTCTCTGCATGTGTGTGTGAAGTTAACGCGCCTCTACTTTGACTGTAGAGTCTGCTGACCCACTTCATAAAAAGAGTCCTTCAATAAAAACTGACAGTAAACCTTGGGTTAAGTTGCTGGTATCACGTAGATTGCAAGATTTTCATGTGCGGAACTCTAGTCTCAGCTACGTCCTCGACGTGCTGCTACTTTATTTTAAGCCATAGTCTTTATATGCTTTTAATTTTCATGGATGGTACCATGATCCTTAAAATTTGTCATTTATTTCTGTGCTTTGCAAAAGACAAGGATAAGTACATAAAATGCTTTTCTTGTTAAGCCAATTTACATATGTACATATATAATATATTTTTTTGATAACAGAATTTGTCGTCTCACTTTTCACTAAGAACTAATGCGCCTGAATTAATGCAGTATTCGAATATGTATTTTTATAGTAAGCTTTTGGGCGCAATACTTATCACAAAAGGGAAGTGATTAGTTTTGTGAGCTTAATCAGAATCAGGCATTAATTTCCATTGCTCTGACTCACTAAACGATGTTAAGATTTTTCGCAAAAGATATCAGTCTAAAATAAGAACATACATACATACATATATTTATTTACATACAAATACATTTACTTACAACTATGAGCATTGTTATCGCTACAAAAAAAACCCTTCAGCGAAATTCCGCCATTAAGAAAATCATCACAATAAATTACAATGCAAGAAGCAGTGAAAAGCGATAAAAGCACAACGCTAAATAAGATGTAATTACAAAAACAAAAGTAAAAAAAAAAACAGTAACACACATGTTTCGAAACCGATGTAACAAATGCAAACATCCTTAAACCACCCGCCCGCTAACTCGAAATGTAAACAACCCCACAGCAGGCCGGAGTATCAAAACAAAACTACTACTACAAACGGTTACATATACATAATACAATACATACATATGTACAAAATGCAACGATAACTTTCAACATTCGATGTTGCTTGCCCATACATTTTTATCAGCTTATTGGTATTCCACTTACTTTCCGCTTTCTGCTTCATTGCCTGTTGGTGGTTATGGTGAGGGTGGTATATAGACATCCAGATAGACACACGCCGTCTAAACCAGGCGGCCCCCTTTCTGAAGACATTCTCTGTGTGCGCAAACAACCCTTAATGCGGCGATTATTGGCCAAAACAAAACGATTTTGGGTGACCAGAGTTGTTTATTGCGAACAAGATTTCCATAAAGATGTTAGAAAAATTTTAAATCTAAGACTATCTAGTTGCCTTATGAGACTCGCCGTTCATTTGCCTGCACTGCCGACAACAGTTTTGTAGAGAAAAGATTAAAAAAACACTTGCTGTTTTAGAATGTCCGGGTTTTTTAGAGGCTGTCGGTAGCTTTCTCACAAGAACGTGATAAGCAAACTGGAATGTTTTGACGAAAGCCTGAAGGCATAAGTTGTTACAGCTCATTCTTATGTTTGTCGGTAAGTATAAGGACTGCTGTGATAAAAAAAAACTGTAAATGAGATCGCTTAGTGAAGGCTGAAAACTCCTTAAATATAGCAATATTGATGTTATATAGTTCTTTACAGATACTCTACCACCTACTCTTTAGAAACTAATTAGTATTTTTAGGAAATACTCCTCCTTTCCGTCTGTTGACCACATATAAATGAAATTTGCGAGGAAAGGAATCTCTGAAGCTCGCGTACATACAGAAGATCATAACACATACCTTTTCAGAACCTCCTGGAGGTAAAAACCTAACAGTAATTCGCAAGAATGCCTCAGCAAGTATTCCTACTCCTGTGTCTAAGGATAAGCTCACAACCTATCGAATAATAGGGGTAGAAGTAAACAAACTCACGAAAGAGTCGATGAAGATGAACAACTTAATATTGTGTAGAAATGATACCTGCTCCAGACTACATAGGAGTCTACATGAGAGGCTTAACCAGTATTCTAATCAATCTATGTCTCGGAGAGATTTGCTGTCATGAAGTATATTAACAGCGTACTCTAAGCAGCTGCCAGGCACTCTACAGTCTAATATTGTGGTTCAAATAGATATGAGCGCACTGTGCTGGAGGAAAGTCCTTTTTGGGACCATATTTACAAAAGCTTTTTGCTTGAAGGTAATCTGGGCTAATCACTTGTATGCACTTGTAAAAACTGCAATATTTTATTTTGGTCACCCCGAAAAGCACTTTCTAACGACAACCCAAAACAAACCATCTACTGGCTCATACAGCCTTTCAGCCACCACACAAATTTAGTTATCATTTTGTCGTCTTCCCGTTTGGGGGTGTTGCATGAGTTACATTTTGTCGCTGCGTGCTTTTTGTGAATTTTTGCCGGTTGCGTGTTCGTGTGCAGAGAAGAAAGCAAAAAAAAAAAATAATAAAAAAATTAGGGAAGCAAAGAAAATTGTGAATGAAAATAGTGCGAATAACTAGTGAAAATACAAAGTCGGCGCTTATCTGGTCGAGATGTGTGTGCGGGTGTGTCTGATTGTTGATAAATACCCAAAACATCTCTCTCTGAATGCAACAAAAAGTGAATTTGCGCGCTGAAGTCCCTACATTTCCTTAGACGATTCGGAACGCAGTACATTTTGTAGCACTTAAGAGGTAGCAGCATTTCCATACATAATGTATGTATGTATGCGTTAGGGTTATTTGCATAAGTGTGTCCTAGTAAAATGCCGTCACTGTGTTTTGCGCTCAGCCAAAGTTATTGTACTTTCACCAACTGCATTACCAACGTTGGAGTCATTGTTTTCATGCAATTAAAGTTTTAATGTGTATATACGCAGGTTACAGTCCGCTGCTGTGGACACCATCGGTCCAGCAGTAATCAAAGGTTTTCGACCCTCTCAGCCTATTGTGTTGTGCGTTGTGTTTGTGGTTCGGTCCGCGGTCGTTGTACGCTTTAATAACGTCACAAAACGTGTACTCACAACCCGGCAAGCCGGTGCTACACCGGTCGGCGTCGGTTCTCGCACTCGTGCCTGGTGCCGTCACGTTTCCATTGAATTATTAATGTACATTATTTGTTTTTTTTTTTTATGTTTAACTTGTAGTTCTTTTGTGTTTTTGCATGTCTCTGCGTTCGAGTATTGATTTTTCCCCAACTTGCCCGCGTGAAGTGTTGGAAAGTGTTGAGTGTAGAGGGTAAAAAAAAAAAATAAGAAAGGATATGTTTGCACTCAACAACTAAACTAAGTGGCTTAACTTAACTGAAGTGCTTTCGAAAAATGTAAATGAAGAGAGACAGTGAGTTTGCTGAGTAACAATTATGGAATAGATAAAGTCCTTAAATCATAATATGAAGAATTTTCGAAGTAGAGAAAATTATGAAAATGTTTCCAAGTCGATACCGAGAAAATCAAGGACCTGTGTTGGTTTTCTAATCTTTAAAATGTAACGTAAAAATATTTCAGACTGAAGACCACACTCTCTAACAAGAAGAACGGCTGAAGAGCCCTATTCACTTACCTCTTCTTTCCGATAATTATAATGGGATAAACATAAGGAATAAGACTCAGTAGTGTGATAGTGTCAGCTGAAACCGGTCGTCTCCGTCTATGAGTGTTGCTATAATCTGAATTTGCAAATTTTTACATTCCTCCTTTATTAATAATTGCACGGCAAACGCTTCTTCTCTTCGGAATTGAAGATGGGAAATAAACGACTCAGCACTAAAATTCATCAGCTGACAAAACCTTAGGTCGCTTCATTTGTTGGAAATACACTAAGACACGCAACAAAAATTGAATGAAGAATTCGGCCGAAAATCCGACATCAAGACAATTCATCAATTTGAGATAGACGAACGCCGGATCTCCAGTGTTTAAGATGACCATGCGCTCGTTCAACCTAACATCGACTCACTACCTTGTTGCAGAAAAAAGCGCTTCTCCTGTGCGTTAAAGAACGCACATCAAAAAGGATCAGAAAGCTACGATATCATAATAGACGGGCGGACGGCTTTCTTTATGGCTTATTGTCCGAGGGCGCTAGTGAATGACACCATTTCAAGCTTCCCTTTGTACCATCACTAGATAAGCAATTGGATTTATGCATTGCGAACGACCGCAACGCGCGAATCTTATAGTACAAATCCCTACGATTGAAGAGGAAAGCAAACAGAGAAAGAAGAGGGCAGAAGAGTATGAGTACACCTGGCTACCGTCCAGTTAAACTCGGAAATACAATGAAAATAGGTTACGACTTACAGAATCAGGTATCAAGATCGGCATATACTCATGTAGGTACCAAGCGGAAATCTGTAGCTTGATGTTTAGAGTACACTTAGATGATATAGGAAATACGTCTCCTGCTAAGTATTAGCGAAAATGCATCCCGGAGGTGGTAAACCGAAATTCCCAATTGCTGAAGACAAAACAAACGTACCATTATCCGCCTGTAATTAAGTTCGGTTAGCAATCGCCCGTCTGACGTACAGCAAGTCGGCGGGACGGTCACCTGACTGAGTTATATATGTGATGGCGAGGACTGGCAAAGTGCATGCATCAGCATCTTTGGCGGAAGAGTGGATGCGCTCTACCAAATCTAAAGATAAAGGACAACACAATCTGCAAATTTTATTGTCTAATAAGTAACCTCAATATCGCACTTATTATGTGAAGGATTAAAGCAGTCTGTCAATGAACCGATTGGACTTTAAAATGTGGCTCCAGACCCGTGAAAAAAGTATCGATACACCACCTCTTCGTCGATTTCAATCTAATGCACAATCGTTTTCAAGAGTGTACGATTGCTTTCGTATATATCGATATCATTTCGTATATATCGATATCATTGACCTTAACAAGGCGGTTGTTATGCTTATTCCACATAAGACAAAGGAGCGAAGCGGTTGGGTTAGTTGGTAATCGAGGAAACGACGAATTATCATATGTCATGAAATAAACAGTCGGCACACCTTTAAACTTGAAGGGTAAAAACTATTTCGTTTATTTGGAAACCAACAACAATACTCGTTGTAATAAAAATATCCCCACTCTTGCCAACAGTTGCTACTTTGGATTGCGTAGGCAATTGAAGAGTCAACAAGTCGCTTATCATTCCCGACCTGCTGGTCCGATCCGATCATTCCCATACCGTTTTTCGAGGTAACAAATTTGCGAAAGACTTCTGGACCTTTGCGCAATGGCGAATATCGTCAACAATGGAATGTTGAGCTCCGCTGGAAAGATCAAGTAGAGAGTGACCCGATTTGATGTGGAGTCTTAAATTGGCGAGAAACAGCAAAAAGAGGACACGGCTGGCAACTGTTGACTGTTCGTTAGGTGCTTTAGACAACTAAGAACAAGCGATTCGGGAATTTAGAAGTCAAAGGACTTGGCTTTTCTTTTTTTTTTACTTTTTAAAGTTCCTAATTAGGTATACTTTTATTTTTCCCTTTTTATAAAAAGACAAACTTTAATTTTTCCTTCTTATAAAAAGACAAACTTTAATAGATTCATATGCTATATTATATAGGGTTATCCATTTCGTGGTTTCAAAAACACATGACTGAATTTTGACGATTGTCAAAACAAATGTCTTTTGTTTAGTTAAGAGTCAGGCCTTCATTAAAATGGATCGCAACGCGATGATTCAAACGCGGCCACATTTTGGGCTTAATAAGGCGATTATGGTGCACATTATCGTCCAAATACCCAGGAATACGTAAATAAGCAAAATCGTTGCACTTGGGTCTACGAAAATCCTCAAATAATTTAAGAGACCACATTACACACTAAACTGCTGCAGTGGCCGGGTGGTTCGCATTGCGTACTGCTATTCGGAAGCCCCGGCTTAAAATCCAGGTACGACCAACATCCAATTATAGAAAATTAATTTAAATAACGAAAAAAAACTAAATTTTCTAATAGCGGTCCCCACTCGGCAGGGAATGACAACCCCTCCGAGTGTACCTCTGACACAAAATAAAGACTCTTCATAACAAACCAGCAGCCGTTCGGAGGCGGCTTGGTATAAACTGTAGATCTCTCAATTTGTTGGAAAAGCATCAAGACGCAAAACAACAAATTGGATTAGGAGCGAGCTCGGCCAAAAAGGGTTTCAGCGGTTACAAAGAGCCAATATAAGTATATAACTTAAAATTGAAGAAAACCACTTGGACAATATGTGGTTTCAACAAGACGGCGCCACAAACCACACAACGCGAGCGAAAAATTTTCCAGCCGCGTAAACTCACGTCTTAGCGATGTTAATTTGGCCACCGAGATTATGCGATTTAACACCGTTGGATCGTTATATTGTGGCGTTATGCGTGTGTCTGCGGATAAATCTTTAACTCTTGAGCACTTGAAAACCAACATTCGCCAAGTATGGCTGAGACAACAACGCCCAGTATCTGGCAAAAAGTGGTTGAAAATTACCTCAAGCGGATCGAAGTTTGTAAAAACTCGCGAGGCGGCCATTTAAATGATGTAGGCAGTGCAGGCAGTGTATAATAAAAAAGTAGCTTCATAAAAAAAAAATATATTTTTTAAATGCATTTTATTCAAGTTTATTTTCGAAATCGCAAAATGCATAGCCCTGCATAACTCAATCAATAGCCCACTGTCACTAAATCAGTACGGAAATGTCTGTAACTTCCTTAGAAGAACGTGTTTTCGTGCTTTTGGCACTTTTAAACCCTTTTTCTTCGTAAACAATTTATTTATTGTGATTTCCATGGTTGCTTTCAATGCCGTTGGCGAGCAGAAACGAGGTAAACAACACAGGGGGTTAGGTACATATGTGTGTGAGTATGAGACCGAAGTGTGTGATTGGCGTTGTTGTCGTTGAGATAATTTAGTTTATATACGAGCAAATTAAAGCTAATAATAATTTTGTTGAAATATTGGAAATTAATGGCATTTTATTTTATACCACTTTACGTGCATAGATGCACGTATTAATGTATGTGTATCAAATATGGCAAATGAAAGGTTTTGCAATATATATTTTTTTTCAACCAAATTGGGGTGCTTTATCATCACATGAACATATTTTCTTATATAAATATGTATATACATATGTATATGTATATGTATATGTACTTATAATTGCCTATACATTTGCACTGTCTGCTAAAATTAGCGGAAGCAATAAAATTATTTCCCGGGCATGAAATAGACTCTGGCATTGATGGCCGGAAGTAGCCTATGATTAAACGGGACTTTCACTATGGCCCCCATAAATGCATACACGCGGAAGTCATGAAGAGAAAAACTACCACGCGAAATACAATTAAATGAGGGCGGAAATTAAAAATTGTAAATGAAAAACAGCTTTGAACTTCATTGAAAAATGGAATGGTTGGTGCGTTTCACTCCAAGCGCGTTTCGAACCAAGGAACTCAGAAAACCTAGAGCTGCAGCGAGCGATAACGTTATACGCAGTATGCCACGCTGGCTTCATTATCAACATGTGCTATTTACACATTTAGCGTTTGACTCAAAATAAATTTATAATTCGTTGCATATTTTTAGGCGCTGTGATGAAAATGCCGTATACTTACACTGTGGGAAATTTATGACAAATAATGAAAAAAAGTGTTTAGAAATTATAATATAATCTTTTAAATAAAATAAAAACTTATATGTTACAAAAAAGTAATTTAGCAAAGCTTTTAAGCTGTAGATAGCATTTTATGCTTTACTGTGCCGGGGAGGTGTGTGGTGTTGAATTTTGTCTATTGGCCTTAGGAATCAGTGACAGACGGCTTTTTTTTTATTTGAAACGAAGTAAGGTGTTGGATTGTGGCATTTGTCGGCCATGTGGAGCGGTTTCGATCGTGGCAGTTCTCGTGGCGTCGATATACAAAGCACCACGAATAATGCCGGCAATAGTCAACAGGAGACTTTGGCTGAAATCGAACACATATCAACGATTGCCGGCTCGCTGGTATCTATAGCTTCCATATCACATACACACACACAAGTACGTTATGTGAGTATAAAGAATTGAATTTGGATTTGAAAATTTTTGAAGAATTATTTCGTGAACTAACTTGGTTTTCTACTGATAAATTATGGGTTTTTTTTATTTTTTTTATTTTTATTTTTTTTTTTTTCAAAACAGCAATGTACCAACGATGCCGGTTATGAGACTGAACATACATCGCTCAATTCGGATTTTGATGAGGCGGAACTGCGTAGGGAATTATTGCGGGATGTAAGTTTGATTTGCTTTTACAGATTTTATGGAGATATTAATTTTTAATTGTTTTTCTTTTTTTTTTGCAGAAATGGAAATTACTATTCGATATGGTGAGCTAATTACTTTTATTAAAAAAGAAGAAAACTAACCGGGTCTTCACACGTTGCTGAGGTTTTCTGTATTTCATTCATTTTTATTCTAATTGGTATTGCAAGGAAAGATAAAAACCCCCAATTATGCATCATCCAAGTCAAAATATAAGTTTTTATATTACATTTTAGCTCTAACTGCTTAATTTTATGTGGGTGGTCACGTCTTAACTGCTCAAATTCTTTCACGAAAATGTCAAGATATGAATGCCTCAAAGTAAGCCAAACGCACAATCCGGATCTATGTATGTCTATTCGTACTCAAGTTAAACGAGCAATGCGAGGTCTCCGGCCAGCTTCTAGGAAACAAAAGTATTCCATTCAGGCATCTCCTTCTTAGTTGGCGTAGGCACTGCTTGCACGATCATAGCCGAATTAAAAATAACGCCCATTCATCTCTTATTTTCGCTATTTGGCGCCACTCGGAAATACCAAGTGAAACAATGTCGGTATCCACCTGATTTTTGTAACAAAGTGCAGGTCTTCCTTTTCCCCTGCCTCCGCCAATGGGTGCTAAATCAGACACTTTCAAAGCACGAGTGTTTTAATTAATATGGACGGCAAGACCTAGCTGGTGTAGCTGCTGTATTTTTATTCGATCAACTATGTCAATGTCGCCGTATAACCCGTACAGTTCATCGTTCTAACGTCTGCGGTGTTTGTCGTTGCCAATGCGCACGGGACCACAAATCGTTCGAAAAACTTTTCTCTAGAAGACTCCCAAGACCGCCTCATTGGATGTTGTGATCTTATTTTCGTTAACTTCCCGACTCATTAGCTTGCCGCGACACCTGAGTAGTTAGCATTGCGTACTGCCATTCGAACGGCCTACGTTTGTATTCCGATGTGACCTGCATCCAAAAGTAGCAGAAAATTAATTGAAATAAAAACTTAAGCTAAAGTTTCTAATTGTGCTCGCTCCTCGAAATAAAAGCTCCTCATAAAAAAACCATCAGCCCTTCGGAGGCGGCTTAGTATAAACTGTATGCCCCTCCATTTGATGGAAACACATCAAGATTCAAAACCACAAACTGGATGAGGAGCTTGGCCGAAAATCGCTTCAGCAGTTGGAAGGTCCCCTTATATAATATCAATGTCATAGGCTAACACCAGCAGTTGTGTACACTTGTCCCTAGCTCCGAGCTAAATATGGACAGGTCCTTCCCAATCCAAAATACGCTTGTGGTGTTGTCCAGCGTCAATTTACGCAGCTGTATAAGTATTGCAGGAATACCCACAGTCATCGCCATGTTTGAATAGGTCTGCCGGTATCCCGTCAGCTCTATTCGCTTTGTGGTTCTTTAGGCGGACAATCGCTATTCGAACCTCGTCATATTCGGGTAGTGGCACATATTTTCCATAGTCATCGAATGTAATTTCAGGTTCACCATCTCCAGGTGTTTCATTTTCACTGCTATTAGCAGGTTGGACAAGTGCTCCCTCCATAAATTCAGTATACTCTGGGCAACCGTCGCTAGATCATCCTACTGGGTCCTGCAAAAGTCTGATTTTTCATAGAATTTTCGGGCACTGCCCTTATCGGACAGCTTTTCAAGCTCTTCATACTCATGTATCTCGGCCTTTTTAGTTCTCGGTATCTATCCCAACTCGCGCGTGTTGTGGTCGATCGCAACGTTGTGAGGTAGGCAGCCTGCTATCTCTCCACTGCGACACGGCAGTCCTCAGCGTACTAGCTGTTTTTGCAATATTTCCGAAATCCAATAGTTTCGTTTGCAGCTGTACGTAGCGATCTCGAATTGCCATTGCACAGTTTCCGTATACCGAGTAGCTGATGAGTGCTCTCAGAGAGAGCAGAAGGAGCCAACTCGAGTAGAAAACCATTCGGTGGTCTATTGTGATAGCAGCTTTTCGACATCTAACCTTTCTTGGTTTTGTTGACGAACGTTTTTTGACATACAGTGGCGGATAAGTATTTTTGCTGCAACAGCACTATCACCACAACAGGATCCATCTGGTTTTGAGTTTTTTGACCAGGTGACAGCCTAGTAGCTTGATGTATCGAGTACTACAGACAACCATATTTCGGGCCCCAGCAAAGTCGCTCAGCCTCAACTCATTAGAGGATGTTTCGTTGTGGAAGCTGAATTTTCCAACAGTTGTGCCGTAGTTACTCCCTTTGCCACACTCTGGCGTTAAAGACGCCAAGCACGATCTTCTCATCATGGCGGGGCAACGCTCATAAGCACGCTCCAGGCGCTCATAATAGGTCACGCTGTCACGTCCATCTAACTTCTTTGGCGGCGGTGATATTAGCCTTTATTCCTACGAGGACATTAACCAGCTGGGCAGCGGCAGGGTTCCAAATTAAGGGACCGTTCATTCGAGGTGCATGCTCTCAAATCACGATCCTTAGTTCGTTTTCAAGGGACGACATCAAAAAGGGAGTATCTCATCTGAGGCGTTGTTTAGCTTTTCGTTGGAACTGGCTTCTACGTGGCGGGTCCCAAACCCAGCTCACAACCTCGCGGGTTGTTTTAGTAGGTCAAAATCTTACAATGATGAGGTTAAGGCTCACGGTGCTTTCAATCCTCCATATAAAAAAAAATTGGTACCAGAAATAAATGAGGTTGAACTTCAATAACATACAGCTCCCACACACCGATCTTTTCACATATAAAATGGGTGGCCATTTCATATAATCTCCATTCAATCGATTTGTTCGGATGTGATGAAGTGAAATATCATAAATATGATATGGTCGTGAGAGATATAAAGACTTTGGCATGACTTCTTCCTTCTTATTTTAATTAATTAAAAAAAAAATTAGTCCCAATCTCTTTCATGCTGCTGATATAACTTTCATATTTTTCTTCTCCTTTAAACAGTTTGATCCCGAAGGTTTCGGCGAGATACACGTTGATGATTTTATAAAAGCATTAAAATCGCCCGAATTCTTATCACAAGTGCCTATGAATAAACGTGAATTGTTGCATGAGCGTGCGAAAAAGGCGCGCCTGCCAACTGGACCTGGATATGTTACTTTTCAAGACTTTGTTAATGTGGTGAGTAAAAATTTTGTTTATATCATTTATATTTATATTGAAGAGAAAGAAGTCGAATAGAATGCATAGATTCATGAGTTGAGTTGAGCTGCTGCGGCTGCTGGTCATTACCATCACACATAGACCAAAAGGCTCAATGTGATAACGCTGGAAGGCTCCTGTTATCAACTTCTCAAATTATCAAACTATTTCGTGTGCCATGTGTTATACAGGCTACCTCAGCGAGACAGTTGAAAAAGTGTTTTCCGCGGAATTCGTGTCGCGCAGATATCAAGGCTGGACAGTGACAGAGGTAGGTAGGTAGTGTTCAATAGATTCGTCCTTTTCTGCGCCCCAACAGGTGCGGCAAAAATTATTAGAGTGGCAGCCCTTTCTTTTCCCGTGATGCGCCCATTAAACAATGAGCTGTTATTATGTCTCTCTTTATGTTAATGAAGAAACGGTCTAGGGGAATAAAAAGTTTTGATTTTTCCGCGTCCATAGTTGCATACAAGTCGGAAGGATGGTGTTTAGTTTTGCCTTGCCGCCCCACCTTACGCTTTTTTTATTTCGTTTTAACCAAGTTGAGCTCTCCAACTGAGAATTCAATTCTTTCTTGGCAAAGTTTAGAATTTCATTTTTTAATTGTCATTTACGCATTTCGGAGTCACGTTGTATGTACATATATATGTATGTACATATATACACAACCACAGGCATTTAAATATCATTTTGCTGTTTTGATTTTGGTAAATATCCTTTGCCTAATTTGCACTCACCATATTTGTGTCCATTTTGCTTGTGTCCTTTTTGTTTGTTTGTATACATACGTTTCTCTTGTTACCTGTTTGTATCTTCTTGTACTATCAATTAATATTTTTGAATCTATATACGTGTATGTATATATATATATTTATGTATGTTTTGTGCGTATGTTTGTACATCAAAAAGAGAATTCCCGACAATTGCAATTCCATTAAGCGTCCACACACACACATACACACACATAGCCATATAAACATACATACATATGTACATATTTGCATTGGCTACTCCTTTACTGCAACTCAAGTAGCTATTATTGTTGCTGTTGCTGTCTTTTATTGTAGATATATAAGTGTTCATATGTCTGTCTGCTCATATTTATGTTTACATTGTTATTGCGTTTGTTGTTGTCGTAATTGTTATTGTTGTCATTAGAATTGTTCAGATTGCGAGCGTTGATGTTTACCACTTTCTGCTTCAAGAAATTCAATTCAATTTAATTCAATGCGAACCGATTCGATTAGATGCGTTCAGTTGTCAGGTATGTACATATGTAAGTATATATGTATGTATATATTGTATGTATGTATCCTGCAATGAAAAGATAGACTGGTATGCAAAAAATTCTAGGCCTTACCCCTTGAGCCACTTAGATGCTTCAAAAAAAAATTTTTTTTAGGCTAAAAATATTCTTTGAATCTTCCAGAATAAGGCAGGAAATGTCCGACATCGATTTCATTGAAATAACGAGCTCTTTTACCGCGCACACCGGACCGCTCGGATATATATTTTGCATGTACGAGGTATGACAACAAAGTAAAGTAATGAGACTGATTATATTGGCGCGATTGTAATAACGCCTGAAATTCCCTTCTTCCTTCTCCCGGCATCCTTCTCCTCTCCATTGATATATTTGCCATCGCTCTAGTTTGTTTAGTTCGCCTGCTGGGTCGTGTTGAGTAAACGGTTGTGCGTGGTGCTCCCCACGAAAATGGAAAAACGAAATCCAATCAAAAATCAAATATCTCCTTTTCGCTTTTTTGTCTTTTGAATTTCGCGGTTATGTACAAAGCGCTACAGAGCTCGTATCTGGATATTGCGGTCAACAGTTATAGACGTGTAAACGTGGAGTTCACTAACACCGAAATTCGCGCTATTTTAAAGTTTTCCTTCGTTAAAGGCAAATCCGATAGAGAAACGTTCCGTGAGATTAATGGTGTTTTGAGGGATGGTACTCTATCACTTCGAACCGGAGGAATGGTTTCGTTGATTCAGAGCCGGTGAAAACGACACCATGGATAAGCCAGCCGGCGGAAGACTTGTGACGACAAATACCGATCATATGGCATCTCGTGACATCGCCCAGGAGATGGGAGTTAGTCACCAAACCATTTTGAACCATCTGCAGAAGGTTGGATACAAAAAAAAGTTTGATGTTTGGGTGCCGCATAATTTGACGCAAAAAAACCTTCTGGACCGAATCAACGCCTGCGATATGCTGCTGAAACGAAACGAACTCGACCCATTCTTGAAGCGGATGGTGACTGGCGACGAAAAATGGATCACATACGACCATATCAATCGAAAACGGTCGTGGTCGAAGGCCGGTGAATCGTCCCAAACAGTGACCAAGCCGGAATTGACGGCCAGGAAGGTTTTGTTGTGTGTTTGGTGGGATTGGAAGGGAATCATCCTCTATGAGCTGCTCCCATATGGCCAGACCCTTAATTCTACCATCTACTGCGAACAACTGGACCGCTTGAAGCAGGCGATCGACCAGAAGCGTCCAGAATTGGCCAACAGGAAGGGTGTAGTGTTCCACCAGGACAACGCCAGACCACACACTTCGTTGATGATTCGTCAGAAGCTACGGGAGCTCGGATGGGAGGTTTTATCGCATCTACCATATGGCCCAGACGTAGCGCCAAGTGATTACCACCTGTTCCTGTCCATGGCGAATGCCCTTGGCGGTGTGAAGTTGAACTCAAAAGAGGCTTGTGAAAAGTGGCTGTCCGAATTCTTCGCAAATAAGGATGGGGGGCTTCTACGAGGAAGGTATTATGAAGTTGCCGTCTAGATGGAAACAGATCATCGAACAAAACGGCGCATATTTTAACTAAATCCGATCACTGTAATACATTGAATAAAGAGCAAAAAACCGGAAATGAGATATTTGACAACTCTATATAGCAGACTTTTTCTTCGCTGGTGTCCAACTTTGACGAGCGCTCACAACGTACTGAGCCAACCAATCGAAAAACTGCCAAAGACAAACTTTTAGCGCGAATAAACACGTTTTCAGCGCCGTACAGTATGACATCATGCGACATGTAACACTCGTACTATGGACAATAACGCCATCTCTTAGATAAAAACCGAACGAACTTTTTACTTGGTTTAATAAATATTGATGAAATGATGAAGATACACGCTTGATAATCTCCTATCCCAACCGAATACTGAAAAATCAACCTTAATGAAGGGAGTTTTTCAAAACCATTCTGAAATTTAACCGGATACCCAAAAAAAAAAAAAAAATCATTAAATTCGGTTCCACCGTTTGTAATTCCGGAATCAATCGAACTGCGCTGTGACTAGTCTTAGGTGAACTAGTTCTCTCAAATGGTTTGAACGAACCAGTACTTTAACAGGTATACATGAACTGGTATTCAATTAGCATGTATAGATGATGCAGAAACTGACAATTGTCATTGTTCGCCGTGTTAAAAATACCAGTTGCTTTGGTGCTGCAAGATTGTAAACTAGTTGGATTCTAGTTAACAACTCGTATTTTCCCTGCAGGGTATAGTTGTGTACATATATATGCAGATATGTACATATGTCTACATGTAGGCATGTATGTATGTATGCATGAGTGAATGTCCTTAACAATTATGTGTTTTGAGTGCCGTTATTGACAAGTGCACTTCATGTTATCTATGTACATATGTACAGGAATACAACTGATTGTGTGTATTGTACTTATATAGGTAGGTATGTATGTATGTGTATTTGTTTGTTTCACTATTGATTTTCGTTTGAGTTGTTATCCCTTGTGCAAATGTTGTTAATTTGTTTACAATTTGTAAATATTTAAGATGAAAATTCCCACAAATTATTTTCACATAAATAAAGGACATTTTGTGCTGTACAATTTTCTCATTTTTTTTTTGTTTTTTTCTATAGTTGTTGCAATTTCTTTTCATATTTTCTTATTTGCTCTTTGTATTAATATTTTTTGTTGTGATCAAAGTGGTTTACTGAATTCTTTGTCATAAGCACTTAATGCAAATTTAAATTTTGAAGGATGAGGAAAGAGTGGTTCGCCTTTTTCGTCTGGCTTCGGTTCCCATGAAATCATTAGTCCGTCCTAAATTGGTCGGAAAGCCGAGTTTTTCGTGATGATTTATGGTAAATTTTTAAAAACCAGTAGTAAGGATTGTTGTGAATGAATTTCTCTTAATGTAGGATCACAACAGAAGAAGTGCTTAGCTTCACTTGAATACAACAGGGTGTGTCACATAGCGAATGAACTATCAAAAATATCATTTGCAGTTAGATGGACAGTGGTCTGTTGTGCCCTTCCTTCACATTATTTTAAACAATCCTAACACCCTTATAAAACCTATTAAGCCAAAGTCGTTGACTGATTTAATATAATTTTGCATCGGCAGAATGACTGCTGGATGTATGAGTCTTGTTCTAGCGTCAATTTCGTATTTAAACCGTTAGCGTACCGGTGCCTAGGGTAGTTGCTCACAGAAGTGACAATTTTCATTACAGCTGTTTGGAGTGTTGTTGTTGTTGTAACCACAAATTATTCCCCGAATTAAGAACCGACTGTCGCGGAGACTGTTGAATTTTAGTCGCTTCTTACGACATGCATGGCTTACCACGGGTAAATTCTTCAGCCCCTAACCCGCAGAGTCTTACTGAGTTATATTATGTCCCAAAATTTTCTTGTAAAAAAACTGTTTTTGAATTTATTCGTAATCTGTGTCTTTTCTATCTTCTCTCCATAATCGAAATTGATTACAATGCATTTCTTAAGTCTATAGAAACACTCCTGAAAACAGTATTCAAAATCTTGCTATTTGAGCTTATCAAATTCTACAACACCCGTATTAATTATCTCCTTGTTGTTATTTTAAAATGTATTTAGACCTTTCCTTTTAAATTTTTGGGAATTTTCGGAAATTTTCGGAAATAACCAGAAATCACAAAGTGCTCAATCCCAGAGATCGCCATAAAATTATTATTTCCGCAGTGTGGGATGGTGTGCCGCAAATTCTCTTTCTTACTGTTTTCCAACAAATTTTTAAAAACTTTTGGTAAACA